GGTCTCTTCTGCTCTCCCCGTCTATCAGGTCTTTTGGATTCACTCTATGCGGAAAAATTGATTGACAGGTGGGAGAATTTTTTTTTATATAGGTTTCTCCTAATCTAAACATTGCTGGCAAAACTGCTAACACAATGTCTGGATTAAACTGTATGCTTTTTTTTTAATAAGAGAGACAAGTTATAATTGGTACCCTTTAAGTAGCTGTATGATTTTTTTTTTATAAGCGAGACAAGTTGTAATTGGTACCTTTTAAGTAGCCTGGGTGGCAATCAATCTCTAAAAGCCGGTGACATAGCTCTGTGGTCTGCTGAGGGACGGGTCAGGTTAGAGGGCAAACCGTTGTAAACCACAGCAGGGACAGCAGTGCTTGCGAGTACACGCTTTGGGGATCTCCATATTGCTATATCTATGATGCTTCACTAGTGAGGCATCAGAAAATAGCCCTGTCTCGCCAAATTCAGGTATGGCATCATAAGTAACATACCCATCAAGAAGAGGTTAATTAAGTTTTATTTTTTGTTTTTTCTTTGTGTATTTGGAAAATTTAGATTGGAAGAGAAGGAGGAAAATGCATATTGTGAGAGACAATTACAATTATACAATTACAATTATTATGTAGCGCCAGCATATTCCACAGCGCTGTATGATATGTATAACAAGACAAACACATGCTCATATTTTTCTTATATTTTAATATTTTTTAAACTAATACTGCTGGGGAAAATAGGTGGACAGAAAATGGTGAGAAAGGAACCTGCCATGACACAAAAACATATACTTATGGATAGAGTAAGGGTAAAATAGCTGAGGATAAAGGGTAAAAGATGGGATAATAATAGAGAATAGTGGACACAATGAGGAGTGAGGTGGAGGAGAACAATATTGATTTGAAAGTGGAAAAATGTTTGAGAACGACATCAAAGGAATTGGAATGACAATGAGGAGTAAATATAATTTAAAAAATAATCTCCTGTTGCGATATACGACTATGCCAGACGTAGCATTGTACTGTTAATGAGGTCTTCCATGGACTAGTGCAACCACTACATACAACCAGATGTTAACAGTTCATACCACAAAGATACTTGTTATTCAGTCTTACATACAAACAATATGTGTGATAATCTGAATAAACGCATGCATACAGGTCCTGCAGTTGAAAAGAGATATCCTTTATCACACTTTTTCCAAGCATGATTCTCTTAGAAGTTTTCAATAAAAGTTCCACCAGCAGGTGTCAAGATGAAGGCGCTAATTCTGGCACCAAACATCACAAGAAAAGGAAGGTAATGTTTCACTTTTGGCTTACATCGATATAATTTCACCGGACGTGCCAAGATGATTCCCAAATTTGGATAAAATAGAATATAAGATCAGACCAGGCAAAAGTTAAGATGTCTAAATGTAACCAATATGGGTCGATACGGTTCTTTTACACAGGATGGAGGAATAAGTGAACTGTTTAGCTGAATTTTAATAGGTAGAAAGTATCACTATATATATATATGATCACAGTACAATGTTGCTGAAACAACTTTCATATTGATGTGTATATATGTGTTACACTGACAAAAGAACAAAAATGAAAAACGGGAAAGTAAAAGAATGCAAAGTAGAAAGGAAGTGTGAATTATGTTTTATTTGAATATTTAAATATGATGTCCCTGGTTAAGAACAAAGTAAAAACAATAAGTATTTACTGTGACCATATAAAGGAAATTTATAAAGAAAACACCTGTTTCATAGAGTAGAGTGGTACAGACCTGCAATGAATGATATTAGAAGTAATGTAGGGAAAGTCAGTATAAGATCCCGTATTACATGAACCGTATCAGTATAAGATGTCCATATTACACGAACCGTGTCAGTAAAAGATGTCCGTATTACATGAACCGTGTCAGTATAAGATCCCATATTACATGAACCGTGTCAGTATAAGATTCCATATTACATGAACCGTATGAGTATAAGATCCCGTATTACATGAACCGTGTCAGTATAAGATGCCTGTATTACATGAACCGTGTCAGTATAAGATGTCCATATTACATGAACCGTGTCAGTATAAGATGTCCATATTACATGAACCGTGTCAGTAAAAGATGTCCGTATTACATGAACCGTGTCAGTATAAGATCCCATATTACATGAACCGTGTCAGTATAAGATTCCATATTACATGAACCGTATGAGTATAAGATCCCGTATTACATGAACCGTGTCAGTATAAGATGCCTGTATTACATGAACCGTGTCAGTATAAGATGTCCATATTACATGAACCGTGTCAGTATAAGATGTCCATATTACATGAACCGTGTCAGTAAAAGATGTCCGTATTACATGAACCGTGTCAGTATAAGATCCCATATTACATGAACCGTGTCAGTATAAGATTCCATATTACATGAACCGTATGAGTATAAGATCCCGTATTACATGAACCGTGTCAGTATAAGATGCCTGTATTACATGAACCGTGTCAGTATAAGATGCCCGTATTACATGAACCGTGTCAGTATAAGATGCCCGTATTACATGAACCGTATCAGTATAAGATGCCCGTATTACATGAACCTTGTCAGTATAAGATGCCCGTATTACATGAACCGTGTCAGTATAAGATGCCCGTATTACATGAACCGTGTCAGTATAAGATCCCATATTACATGAACCGTATCAGTATAAGATGCCCATATTACATGAACCGTGTCAGTATAAGATGCCCGTATTACATGAACCTTGTCAGTATAAGATGCCTGTCTTACATGAACCGTGTCAGTATAAGATCCCATATTACATGAACCGTATGAGTATAAGATCCCGTATAACATGAACCGTATCAGTATAAGATGCCCGTGTTACATGAACCGTGTCAGTATAAGATTCCATATTACATGAACCGTATGAGTATAAGATCCCGTATTACATAAACCGTGTCAGTATAAGATGCCTGTATTACATGAACCGTATCAGTATAAGATGCCCGTATTACATGAACCGTGTCAGTATAAGATGCCCATATTACATGAACCGTATCAGTATAAGATGCCCGTATTACATGAACCTTGTCAGTATAAGATGCCCGTATTACATGAACCGTGTCAGTATAAGATCCCATATTACATGAACCGTATCAGTATAAGATGCCCGTATTACATGAACCGTGTCAGTATAAGATGCCCGTATTACATGAACCGTATCAGTATAAGATGCCCGTATTACATGAACCTTGTCAGTATAAGATGCCTGTCTTACATGAACCGTGTCAGTATAAGATCCCATATTACATGAACCGTATTAGTATAAGATGCCCATAGATGGGGTACATTGACGTTGTATTAGGCTTATGCAATGTAATCATATAATGTAACTAAACCCCCATTATTTTTTGCCTAGATTAGGTGTTTTTAAAAAACTAACAAAACGAGCTGTTTAGTAGATAAGGGAGTGCACTAGATTTTCAATTTTTACTGTACTTATTGGCCCCCAGCAGCACCCTATTTAAGCATGTTTAGGTGAGTGCAGCCAACCCCTTGATATACATATTACAGGAACCGTCATAAATTATGTTTTGTAGAAAATATGCTTTATATAAAAAAATGCCATGCAAAGGTAGATTAACCAAAGTGCTGAAGGTTAGCACATAAATACATAATTGTGCAATTTTAGGCCATTTAAAACTGTGGTTTGAAGAGGGGGACACAAAAGAGAGCTCACAAAAGACAGCACGGTGAGGTATAAACAAGAGTAGTTGAGAAAAGTTGCACAATAAAGGGACACTATAATCACATGAACAACTACAGCTTAATGTAGTGATTCCGGTGTGTATAATATGTCCCTTCAGAGAAAAGGCAGTGTTTGCATTACAGCCTAGGAACACCATTAGTGGCAGTCACTCAGACGGCCACTAGAGATGTTTCCTGGGTCAGTGTTGCATAACGCGGAACGTTCCTTATAGAGATGCACTGATTTAATGCATTTTTATGAGGAGATGCTGATTTACGCAGCGTGGCATTTTGACGTGCATGCGCAATAGCCTTAAAATGCTTTCCAATTTTCCAAAAGGTTTGGCTGAGATTGTTCGTTTTGATAATCTCAACGAGGGAGGCAGAGCGGGGATAGGATCTAGCCACGCAATGCTGGAATACAGGTAAGTTTAAAACTTTTTTAAAGAGTTCCAAGGGGAGCCTAAACTCCGGTTTTAACACTAGCTTAGAAAAACACGAAAGCTTGCCCTTCTGTAAGTCTCAAAATGGGTTTTGCTCACTTGTGCCATTACAGACAAAATATATTTTGACGCATATCAGACAGATCTCCCTGTAAGTGAGTCCCGAAGTGAAATGCCAGCAAGTTCTCTCTGCACGAGAGGTACCCGACGATACTTTTGACCTTCTTTGGGCCTCATCAGTGAGTTGTAGCTGATACCCCTCTAACCAGTGAGCACGGGGTCCACATCTGGATTACCCTTTTAACGTGGGGAGAGCTAAGTTGCTGCATTGCAACAGAAACAGAGAATACAAGCTTAGAGAAACTCCGCAGCTAGAGCACATTTCAAATGGCAAGAAAAAAAAACCCGAAACTTTGTTTAATTTCTCCTCTTCTCAGTATGTTTTCTCAACGCTGTCAAAGACAAGAGTTTATAAGAAACAATGGTGGGAGTTAAGATGGAGGCATCCAGTCGCAGGGTAAACACGTGTGGATTTTTACGTTTATTTTTCCACGTGCCATAAATACACATTTATTAAACATAAGGATAAATAACCAATAATGAATAAATCCTGGAAGGGACACTTTCCCTTTAAAGAGCCCTAGTCATGTGATATGTGTTTGAGTGGGGTACTACGATTACTGCGCATGCGCACGTGTTGCCGTAGACTACATTTCCCGGCATGCTCAGCGAACTCACACCACACGCCCTCGCCCAAGTCTAAGCGCTGTGTCCCGCTTGCGCAGTGTCACGTGATTCGTGACGCCGCCTCTTGCCCTTGACTGTGATGGCGGTTTCTTCCTCCTCCGCCCTGATGGTGGCTGCGGCCGTGGCTCTGGGCGGCGGGTTAGTGTTGGTGGCTCGCAGGCTAATGAGCAGCAGCGGTGCTCGAGCGGCCGGCTCCGGGCTCATGCGGGGGAAAACGGTGATCATCACCGGGGCTAACAGCGGCATCGGGCGGGCCACGGCGGCCGAGCTGGTCCGGGAGCAGGCCCGGGTGATCCTGGCATGCAGAGACCGGGGCCGGGCGGAGGAGGCGGCCCGCGAGCTGCGGCTGGAGGGACCCGGGGAGGTGGTCATCAAAGAGCTGGACCTCAGCTCACTGCGATCCGTCCGCAGGTTCTGCCAGGAGGTGGTCCAGGTAAAGACTCTCAGCCAGCCACTGCTGGGAGTGATAGTCCAACTCAGCCAGCCAGCCACTGGGAGTGCTAGTCCAGCTCAGCCAGCCACTGGGAGTGCTAGTCCAGCTCAGCCAGCCAGCCACTGGGAGTGCTAGTCCAGCTCAGCCAGCCAGCCACTGGGAGTGCTAGTCCAGCTCAGCCAGCCAGCCACTGGGAGTGATAGTCCAACTCAGCCAGCCAGCCACTGTGAGTGCTAGTCCAGCTCAGCCAGCCAGCCACTGTGAGTGCTAGTCCAGCTCAGCCAGCCAGCCACTGGGAGTGCTAGTCCAGCTCAGCCAGCCAGCTGCTGGGAGTGATAGTCCAACTCAGCCAGCCAGCCACTGGGAGTGCTAGTCCAGCTCAGCCAGCCACTGGGAGTGCTAGTCCAGCTCAGCCAGCCAGCCACTGGGAGTGCTAGTCCAGCTCAGCCAGCCAGCCACTGGGAGTGCTAGTCCAGCTCAGCCGACCTTTAACTACTGGGAGTGCAGGTTCTTCAAAGCACGCCAGCTGCTTGGAATGCAAGTCCTATAAATCTCAGCCAGCTGGTGGTTGCCGTAGTTCTCTTTATAGTTTCAGCTTAGCGACCATTTACCTGTATAATGTAAATACAACCAATGATAACGACACTATTCTTCTTTAATAACCACCTGTTGAATAAAGTTTATAACTACAAGTCCTATCAATCACAGCCAGCTGTTGGTTTACTGTAGCTCTTTCCATATCTTCAGCTTAGGAACCCCTTTACCTGTAGAAAATAAACCAATAGTAATGACACTATTTCTCTTTGACTACAAGTCCTATTAATCTTAGCCAGTTATAAGAAGTTGTAACCATTGAGGTCTTGCATCCACGCTTTATTTCCCAGTATTTATCAAAGTTCTAAACTTCTCGTCATGTCTGAATTCTTTGTCTGTATTATGGCTGTAAGAGCATCATGGGAGGTGTAGTCCACAACATCTGGAGCGCTGAAGGTTGCCATCACCTGACCTATAGTATTCAACCAAATTATCACATTGCAAACCCTTAGAGGGTTGTAATCAGTGTTATTTTCAGCCTGTTATTTATATCCTACCCAACGCACACATAGCTGGGCAGGCAGAACTTTTTATTTACTAACAGAGCATTTTATTTACGTACTTTACTTTGCATCATTGCAGTTACATGCTCTTCTATGACATCCTATTGTACTGGGCCTACCGTTGGCAAGTATTAATGATGGGGTATCTCTATTGCACCTTCTAGTCACAGCAAGCCTTTGGTATATGTAGGCCAAAACGATAGATTACTGTCACATGGCTGATTTTTAACACAACCGTATAGCTAATTAAAAGCTGCTTTTCTAATTACATTTCTATCTTTACATTTTTACATACTTTGCCAGCGAAGGCCCAGTTAACTTTTGCAGTGCTGTGTCCCCAGAATTTCTTTTAGATACATCATGAGATGGGGTAGACCGTGCAGTGGAAGGTAAGTACATTATTCACCCCAGAAAATGCTGAAATAGCATTTACGGAGGTAGAATAATGAACTATCACTACACGCATGATTTGACCTATTTAATGAAAAAATAATTACATTTTAAAATAAAGATTCCTTTGCTCCCATTTCATAAAAAAACAACTCCATACTGTGCATGAGTCACAGTGCGCGCTTGCCAAACCAGGAAGTGACTTATAGTATGTTTTCTATGCTTTTGTTAATTTCTTTTCCTCTATCTTTAATTCTTTCTTTTTAAATGTTTGTTATATTTAATGACATGGGTTTTTTGTTTTTTTTTGAAAGAGAGAACTTTTCAATGTGAGCACCTGTTAGGTTGCGCAGCAGTCTGAGTTGAAACATTAAATGCAGTGAGCTTTTAAATAAACGAGAAGTGGAAATTTGATAACCGTTGTCTTTTAACAGGCAAAGCTTAGGGTGTTGGCGAGTTTCAGTTTCAGACTGTAACTATCATTTTACACACAAGTTGTTTTTAATCTTGAAGTAAATTCCATCTATACATTGTGCTTGTACAAGATATAGAAAATATATATATTGGAAGAAAAAAAACAACAACTCTGTAAAATGTGCTTCCTCCACAGGTCAATCAGTTCTACAGTTTAGTCAACATAGATATATATGTCATTAACTGATATTAGAGAGCAGGAGAACCTTTTTACAGGTGGTTCTCCATCACCAATGCGCAGCTTGTGCTGTGATTACTTCTGCAGTAGAGGAATATAGGAACAGAGTATTGTCATGACTCTGATCAATGTGCTGGCAGTGGGAGGATTGCGCTGCTTGATGTAGTACCGATGCTGGGATTTTAGTTAGACAATTACACGTTCATTTTAATCTTCGGCTGTCTGCTATAGAAAGCTTACAGCTAGAATACAACTCCCATAAAGCAAAGGCTTGACATAATGTACAGGACCCATGACAGAATAGTTAAAATATCGTAGATCACAATTGCGACGATCGTGGGTTTAATGCTATTGCTGGGTGCCTCGAGGTCGGAGGCAGATCAGCAACAGCAAATGGTGCTGTCCAAGCACGTGATCAATGTGACATCCAGTAACTGCGATCACAGTGCTGCTGGGATATCTGATCCACCTCCCAGCTCGTTGTGAAGTGGGGAGAAACTGACCTGAGAATTACTTTGTGTGCTGCTAGTGATTCCATTTTATCAGTAATATTTAAACTCTTTAGCCCTGTAAATCCAAATTTTGCCCTTTGATCATTTGTTGCAGTGATCAGAATACAGAACACAGTGCTTTACTGTCATCTATTTTTTTTTTTTTTAATAAATATTTTTTACCATCAAGGGATATATATTTTTTTTTTTTTATTGGTGATTTAGCAGGGTTGGGTGGAAGTTAGTGGGAAATTTTCTGTTGCGTTAGATGTAAAAAAACAAGTTTAAATTGAAGCAAAAAACATACACACACACACCAAAATTATAAACGCATCCCTTTTGTTTTTGCCCCCATTTTTCATGAGCTGAACTCAAAGATCTGGAGGGCCGAAGGTTCCCCACCCCTGCTTTAAAGGACCACTATAAGCACCCAGACCACTTCAGCTTAATTAACCCTTTTTTTTTTTTTTTCTTTTTTTTTATAAACATAGCAGTTTCAGAGAAACTGCCATGTTTATAAATGGGTTAATCCAGCCTCCAGTGGCTGTCTCTTGACAGCCGCTAGAGGCCCTTGCGTGCTTCTCACTGTGAAAATCATGCGCATTCAGCCAAAGAGGAGGAAGAGAGCTCCCTGCCCGGCGCTGGAGAAAAAGATAAGTTTAACCCCTTCCTCTCCCCAGAGCCCGCCAGGAGGGGGACCCTGAGGGTGGGGGCACCCTCAGGGCACTATAGTGCCAGGAAAACAAGTGTTTTCCTGGCAGTATAGTGGTCCTTTAAGCATTCACGTATAACTGGCCTTTGTGAGGTAGTTTGAACGTGCAAGAATGCTCCAAAATGGGACATAGCTCAATTAAATCCATCTATGAAAATTCTCGTGTGTGTATATGTTAAAGTGAGAAATCTGTTAATGTGCACATTACCTAGTTAATCTGCAGATTAACTGATTTGCCCATTTTTTTAAAGTGCGGAATCAAGAATTTTCCGCACTTTACCTGAGTAAAGTGCACATTATCTGCTTCCGTCTAGTTTAAGTGCAAAATGTTTGTTTCTTTCCCTCGGTAAAAGAGGAAATTATTTATTACAAAAATGTCCTCACAGCACCTGTTTCACCCTTTCAGTGCAGTCTTTGCAGAGTCGTTCACTTCTCGTCTGAAGGCAGAAAGATACCGTGTGAACCTGTCTCGATTTTCTTTTTGCGAGCAAGTTCCTTTCAGTGCACTCCACCATCAAATTCTCAAAGCATAGACTCATGGCTTGTTGCTTCTCAGAGGGGGGCTGGCTACTAACAATGCTGCTCCATAAGTCCGAGAAATACTTCTCTCATTGAGGAGAATGAGACCAAAGAGAGGTCTGCTCATGGACCACTGATCCCGACAGTCTTCAAATATATGATGATATTGAGAACAGTGGAGAGCATCTGCTGGGATCATTTTAGGGTGTTGCTGCATAATGTGCAGGAAGCGCTCGCTCTCTTGTGGTGGGGGCTCCTCATTTCTTACCAGTTCAGGATAACTGTTTGAAGAGTTATGTGACTATGTGGTCCAGACAAGAACAGAACAGAAGCCTGGGCACACCATGGTTTGCTCTAAAGCTGTGAGCACCTCAGAGAGATGGAGGACAGAATGATTTTTTTTTTTTTTTTTTTGCACTTTCACATGTGTAATGTGAGAAATATTTGCGAAAATAAATCATTTTCTGCACTTTAACTGATCACCCTAGTTAATCTGCAGATTAACTGATTTCTGCACTTTAACTGTAATATATAAAAAAAATTAACTTCGCTTATATGGCACTGTAATTTCACAATATAGGCACACATCAGGGGTATTGTACTTAAAAGATGTAGCTGAGCATAATACAACAAGCATGTAAATAAATGCAAAATAAACATTTTCTGCAAACTTTGAGATTACCTGGTTTAATAATGTTGGCACGTTAAGGCATAATATACACCATATGATACTCCGGGTGTCTACTTTTACAAATGGTAGGTGTTTGTAGGGTAATACCAACAATCATATTGCTATAATGCCTCAAAATGAGAGATGGTCCCATCAAATCTATTAATCAAAATAACTGTGAAACCTGAATTTTTTTTTTTCTTTGTTTTTATAATAAATGAGAATTTATGTATGTCACATCAAATAAAGATCTTTTTGTCCTTTTAAAAATGGTATATAATGTGTTGGTGCAATAAATAAAAAAGATGGAATTTGCTGTTAAACACACACACACACATTTCTTTGGTCCTGAGGTGGAAAAACAGGCAAATTAAGCTAATTATGTAGTATGAGGCTCTATATTCATGCAGTGTTTCATGTTTGGTAAATTCCATTAATCTAACCAAAAAAACATAATGAAGCAGTTTTGGTTTATTGATCATGCCCCATGCAGTCTCTCACTGCTCAATTCTCTGCCAGTTAGGAGTTAAATCACTTTGTTTATACAGGGATTAGCACAGCCATCCTTAATGCTTCCTGTAAAGACTAGATGTCTTCCCTAATTTTGAAACTCAAAGGAACACTATAGTCACCTAAATTACTTTAGCTAAATAAAGCAGTGCTAGTGTATAGATCATTCCCCTGCAATTTCACTGCTCAATTCACTGTCATTTAGGAGTTAAATCACTTTGTTTCTGTTTATGCAGCCCTAGCCACACCTCCCCTGGCTATGATTGACAGAGCCTGCATGAAAAAAAAAAAAGAAAACTGGTTTAACTTTCAAACAGATGTAATTTACCTTAAATAATTGTATCACAATCTCTAAATTGAACTTTAATCACATACAGGAAGATCTTGCAGGGTCTAGCAAGCTATTAACATAGCAGGGGATAAGAAAATCTTAATTAAACAGAACTTTCAATAAAGAAAGCCTAAATGGGGCTCTCTTTACAGGAAGTGTTTATGGAAGGCTGTGCAAGTCACATGCAGGGAGGTGTGACTAGGGTTTATAAACAAAGGGATTTAACTCCTAAATGGCAGAGGATTGAGCAGTGAGGCTGCAGGGGCATGTTATATACACCAAAACTGCTTCATTAAGCTAAAGTTGTTCAGGTGACTATAGTGTCCCTTCAATCTCTCTAAAACTGAACACACTTAACATCCAATCTGTTGTTAAAACTTGTCAATTCCACCTTGAAAATGTTGCCTGCATCTAACCATTTCTTACACAAGATACTACTAAGGACCTTGTTCGTTCTCTGGATTTTTCTCACATTGCTTACGGCAATCAGAAGCCGTACTGCCTTGCTATAGTCTGTAATAAATGCTGCTGTCAGGCTGATTTTCCTTTCCTGTCGCTCCTTTCAAACCTCACCCTTCTGTCAATCCTCACATCAGCTTCCTGTAGCCTATAGGAGTCAATTCAAAATACTAACCCTTACCTATAAACCCCTTAACAACCCTTGCCCCTGTTACATTTCTTCAATAATCTGTAGGTATGCCCCTTCCTGGTCTCTCCGCTCTGCTGATGGCCTTCTCCTGTACGCTGCTCACATCCCCTACTGATGACTCAACTTGCAGAACTTCTCGCGGATGGCTCCTTTCCTTTGGAACAACCTGCCTGCCCCCATCAGACTCTTCCCTAGTCTGCAATCGTTTAAGACAAGCATGTTAAACGCAAAGGCTAGCATGGGCCCAAAAAAAACAGGTTTAAGTTTGTGGGCTACAAAAACAAACTTTCATAGAAGCCTATGTTTATTTTGAAAAGTACAGTAAAAAAAACAAAAACAAATCCAGCATCCCCCTCTAGACTAAATCCTAGTCCCCCACCTGAAAAACACAATATTAACTAACAAGCAGACTCTACTCACATTGCCGCTGCCAGTATGCGACTCTGCTGTCCAGCCTCTGGTATACCCCAATGGCGCCGTCTGCATCCTGTGAAAAAGCGAATCCTCCCGATACTCCTTGAAACCCTATGATGGTGGAGCACGTTGGCGTCCTGTCTGAATATGGCGTTGCGTGCCTCCGTGCACCTCTAGGTCCTCCACTGTCCATCCGTGGCCATCGCAACACTGACCAACACACACTCTGACAGACACACACATTTACTCACTCTTGCACACACTCACAAATCATTTTATTTATTGTTCCCTACTTTTGGGAGCTGGTGTGGGGCCTCTCCTTGGGGTCCATCCTCTCTCTGCAGTTCTCGCTTCCTGTTCCTCACTGCTCCCTCACACGCGCAGTTTAGTGATGCTGGGCTGGAAAAATTTTATTTTCTGCAATGTAGGGAGAGCAGGTGCCTACTGTGCCTTAACATGTCACTCGTGGCTCGCTGGGTTGCAAAGCTATTCATTGTGGGCCGCGAGTTTGACATGCTTGTTTTATGAAGTCCCTCAAAACCCATCTCTTCAGAAAATCTTATGGACTCCCAGAGTCCATATTTCACATACCTGTCTCTTGGTCGCTCTTAAAGGTTAGACTCCACTCTCACCTTCCAGTTCTGCCAATAAAAGTTATTTCAAATATGAAATCTTCAACTGCTTGCAAATATTAAGGATAACTATCAAAATGAGTCTTTACGTTTATAAATCACGTTTTGAATACATTACTACTAACTAGTGATTTAATTCATGACTGATATACAACGTGAGGGATTCTATTTGTTCAGTTTCCATTCCTGGCATTGCGGAGTTATTTGGGATTTGTTCAGAAAGTGTTTTAGCAGGAACACTCGAGTTTATCTGAGTTTGAAGTGAGAGCCTCCAAAGAGAGGATGTAATAAGTAATAATAAACCACCACAGTCTTTCTTGCATGATTTCTCTGAGTTTCTGTTCAAAACATTATTGTAGAAATAAATAGTATATATTTTTTGGCTAATGCACATTTAAATAGGATGGGGCAGACAAGGTGAGTTTATGGAGCAAAACCACCCTCCCAAATAATATACGCTGTGCCTACACCGTGCCCAAAGTGTTTGATGCCCGGCATGTCACTTCAGTATATATAACCTACAAATTAATGTGCTGACTCCCTTGTGTATATATATATATATATATATAAAAAATAAATATATTTTTTTTTTTGTTCCTTCATGTAAAATATTATTTTCAAGCATCAGAGACCACTAGGCATTATGATCATACTGGTCATTTTATGAGGCTTCTGTTGCACCCTATTAAAGTATTTGTTTATAATCCAATGATTTTCATTAAAAGGTGCTTTCTGGAAGTAAAATGTAATTTAAAAAAGCAAAAATCATCATATTCTTCGTAGATCACTTTATTAAAATTATTTATGAGCATAGCAGTGGTATCTGCTGGCATGGAGATGAATTGTGGATAAAACTTCGAATTGCAAAGCCATTTGTGGATATGTTCTGGCTGTTAATCTTTCTTTTCTTATTTAAGGAAGAACCTCACTTGGATGTCCTCATCAATAATGCTGGGATCTTTCAGTGTCCCTACATGAAGACAGAAGATGGTTTTGAAATGCAGTTTGGTGTCAACCATTTGGGCCATTTTCTCCTCACTCATTTGCTTCTGAGCCTCTTGAAAAGTTCTGCTCCTAGTCGGATTGTGGTTGTTTCATCAAAACTTTACAAATACGGCGAAATCAACTTTGACGACTTGAACAGTGAGAAGAGTTACAGTAAAAGTTTTGGCTACAGTCGCAGCAAATTGGCCAATATTTTGTTCACTAGAGAACTCTCCAGACGCTTGGAAGGCACGGGGGTTACAGTCAATGCTCTGCATCCTGGGATTGTCAGAACTAATTTAGGGAGATACATTAATATTCCTATTTTGATAAAGCCCTTGTTTAGCGTGGTGTCATGGGCCTTCTTTAAATCGCCAGAGGAAGGTGCTCAGACATCTATATATTTGGCAACCAGTCCAGAAGTTGAGGGAGTATCTGGGAAGTACTTTGGTGATTGCAAAGAAGAGGAATTACTGCCCAAAGCCATGGATGATTTAGTAGCTCGAAAACTCTGGGATATCAGTGAGATTATGGTTGGGCTTATAAAATAGACATTTAAACTATTCTACTAAAGTGGAGGCACAAATATTAAAGCATACCACCAACAGAGGCACTGTGAACAGGTGTCTTTCTAAAAATATAATTGTCAATGTTAAGGATAATGCTTAAAAAAACTTTTGCTTCTTTTTAATAAAGGAAAGGTTTTTTTAACCATTTTATAAACATCTCAAAAGTACTTGTTTATTTTTAAATTCCACTTTTTATTTTTAGATATATAATTGATCCTCCCTTGCCCCCCCTAGTATTCGGACTCAAAATTAAAGGGACACTTCAGACATTTTTGTGTATTACATAGGTAATGATTTAAGATATATACAAAAAAAGGAAAAATGGTAAAAAGAAAAAAATGCACTTAAGCATTTTTGAGTTATTCACAAAAGTATAAAGGCACAGCAAGGATTCCACTCAGTTGAAGTTCAATTGTCTGTTTTGTGCTCTAGAAAGCTAACAACCGAACTACAACTCATAACCAGAACCCTGTAACATGACATCATGTACAGCCGTACATTTGGAGCAAACAATAAAAGATATACTGCATGATAGAAAGTTAGAAAGGAATAGGATTAACTAAAGAAGACTAATAAACTAAAGAAGACTAATAAAATAACCCGCCAAGCCTGACTTACTTTAGCCTAACCCATAAATGGCGCCAAACATCTGGATGCCTGGAGTGTCCCATTAAACAATAATACGAGTCTGCTGAAAACATGTCCGGCTATCTGTAACTTTGCGGTAGGAGATGGGTGAGCAATCTCCTTTAAACATAGTTTTGTGTGAAATCTCTATGCAGTTTCACTACAATTATTGAAACTCTTCCAATAAAATGTATGTGTCCTCTAATGCTGTTCGTCTTTTAAAGTGGCTCTATCACGGTCTGTGGTCTTTGTATAATTTACAAAGACTCTCGATTGTGATTTCTGCTGGGCGTACATGAACCTGCCCTTTGCAGCAGCCGCTGCTTATCACGTGCCAGGTGTCAACATCAATACTGTACTCTCTCGCATGCGAGACAAAGGTAGTTCTGCCAAGTTTTGTCAACCGTACTTTGTCTTAGTATATCTTTTGACTGTTTTGGGATTACAGTAGATATAAGTATTTCAGAAAGACTATCTTTATGAAATACTCATTTTGGAGGAGTTGGGTTTACAATGCCACATAGTTTTGGGGAAATTTCATATGTCTGCAATTTGAAAAGTGAAGGCTCCTTACTAAATAGTTTAAGAGGTTTGTATTTTAGCATGTCTTTAGCCTAAGATTACGTGCATGCATTTAATATGTAAAGGAGTGACTTTAAACCACTACTTTTCGAAAAGACGTTTTGCACAGAAATTCTGTAGAGTAAATTCATGTTTAAGTTTGATGTGCTTTTGCCACAAATATGTGTAAATAAGAGTTCAGTATATAGTTCTAATATATATTCTTTATTCTGGTATAGGCCTCTGCAGGGCATTCAGGTCCTTTCTTCACTGTGATTAAAATGAAATGTGATATTTATTGCCCTACCTAATAAACCTGTTGATGTGAATGGTACTGGTTGAGTAATTCAGTGTGGCCTATTCAAAATATACAAGTTGGATGAATAAAGCATTTAAATGGATCATTTAAGAGTTATTGGATGCCTTGGTATGTAGCTTTCAACTAAAAAATGTTCTCAGGTTTTTAATTTAACTGAGAAATGTTAATTTTATATTTGCCAGTTTACTATTTGATAATCTAGTAAATTAACTCATTTGACACGGTTGTCTAGGACAATATTGAGCACACTGTTAGTGGACCACATCACAGATACATAGTGCTATTAATATAATGCTGTATGATCAATAGATTTCACAAACACACTGTGGGACTGTTAAAAACCCACACAGTAACATTACAGAAATGCAAGGAATGTTTAAGAGAAACGACTACCTTTTCCAGTTTTGGTGTGTAAATCATGCCCCGGTAGTCTCACTGCTCAATTCTCTGCCATTTAGAAGATAAACCACTTTATTTATGCAGCCCTAGTCACACCTCTCTGTATGTGACTTGCAGTCTTCCTAAAAACACTTCCTGTAAAGAGAGATCTACACTTCCTTTATTACACAGTCTGTTTGATTTAGATTTTTACATTTTTTTTTTTTTTTAATTCTTTATTGTTATGTGCATTTTGCAACGTCTGTCATGAAATGGAAGCAGGGAGGCTGCCTGTCTCGAGAGGCAGCCCCCCGGACTGGGATCGCCACAGATCGCCGGTCTAGATAAGTAACTTGGGCTGGGGAGCTAACGATCGTTAGGTTGGACTATGCTGCCCTAACGGAGTTTAGGCTCACTAAATGCGGGGTGGCATAGTACGGCGTTAAGGGGTTAAGCTAATGTTGTTTAGGTGAATATAGTGTTCCACTATACACACTGTACAATATTGCTACACTCATACACTGCATGTTATTAAGGTAGAGTCATAAATTGTACCAACTGCATATTACTAGGGAAAAGTCAAATATTGCATATATCTACTGCCCACTTATGTATCTTTGATGGTAAAATTTCCTTACCGCCCACTGGTGCCGCAATAACTCCATTTTTTTAGCGCAAGTGAAAATATACATTTCTTTTTATTTCTACTTGATGTATGTTTATACATATATAATTTAAAATGTATGAATTTCAGCATCTCCGTCAATGTAGCCTACTTGCGTGGGAGCTGCTTAAATTGAAGAGCCACGTTCTGATGGCAAGTTGCAGTTTCGTCACTTCCGGTAATGCTGCTTTTGGTTTTTCGGCATGGTTGCATGTTCTGCGCACTGTTGCATGGGCGCACTTTCTTTAGCTCATCTGGAGTGCCCAACAAGCATGCGCAGGTGCTTCCTTTTAGCTATTGAGAGAGATTTAGCAAACAGAGTATTCACGCATGCCTACTGGGGTTTTTTAATGAGGATTCTCTCGATAGCTGGAGGGAGGTATGTGCGTGCACAGAGTATGTTGTTATGAGGGTCACAGATAAAACCCACCACCACCCACCATAAAAGCCTGAATCGCCCACTAGTAGGCGATAAAGACCAGGTTGGCTCCTATTGGTATACACATTGCACATTACTATGGGAGAGTCATATATTGTACACACTGAACATTACTAGGGAATTCTAAGGCTGTAATATACTCATACACGCTGCACTATATTATTGGGGTCTGATATACTCTACCTATTGCATCATACTGTGGGGCCTTGTGAACATTATTATTGGTATTTATATAGCGCCAGCTTATTCCGCAGCGCTTTACAATAAGAGGGGAATTTACCAAATGAGACAATAACAAAATGTAACAGGAACAATAGGTAGTTGCGGATCCTGCTCAAACGAGCTTACAGTCTGGAGGAGGTGGGGTATAAAAACGCAATAGGAAGGGTATTAAGAGATACAGCAAATAGACATAGTGGGAAAGTAGCAGAACTGGAGGTGAGAGTGAGAGGAAGGTTTGAGAGAGAGAAGTTACTCTTGGGGGCCATAAGCATTCCTGAAAATATGGGTTTTGAGGGACTTCTTAAAGGATTGAAGACAGGGGTAGGCAGGCTGTTCCAAAGCAAAGGAGTCGCCCGCGAGAAGTCTTGGAGGTGTGAATTTGCAGTAAGAGTGCGAGCAGCAGACATGGAATTGTCTGTCCTGTGGGAGGGGGCTGAAAGAGAGTTATGGGACTTTACTAGGTGAAAGAGAGGAAGTGCTATGGTTAGGAGTCAATACTGAAGCAAGGGGGTGGACAAAAACCGATGTGTGGGTAACTATACTAAATGGGTGATGGGAGATTTTGCAGTGTAAGTGAAAGACTGGTAATGGAGATATACTATAACATGCATTGACATACTGAAGGACTACTAACGTCACCTAATCTCAATAAAACGGTGTGGTTGCAGGGGTCCTACAGTTTTAACCCTTCAAGGTAAAACATTGCTATTTTCAGAAACAGCAATATTTGCCTTCAAGGGGTAAGTGACATAGCAGAAGATGGATCGAGCGGCAGCACAGAGGGAGCATTGTTGCTGGAAAAGGGTAAGTAAACTTTTTTTTAATCTTTTTTTTTTTTTTTACACACAGAAAAAAGGGTAGGGGGCTGAATCCAAGTAGGGACAGTGACAATATAGCATTAGGAATACAAGTTTGTATTCGTAACGCTATAGAGTTCCTTTAAGCAGACAAGTCATTTTAGAAACATAGAATGTGACGGCAGATAAGAACCATTCGGCCCATGTAGTCAGCCTAATTTTCTAAATACTTTCATTAGTCCCTGGCCTTATCTTATAGTTAGGATAGCCTTATGCCTATCCCACGCATGCTTAAACTCCTTTACTGTGTTAACCTCTACCACTTCAGCTGGAAGGCTATTCCATGCATCCACTACCCTCTCAGTAAAGTAATGCTTCCTGATATTATTTTTAAACCTTTGTCCCTCTAATTTAAGACTATGTCCTCTTGTTGTGGTAGTTTTTCTTCTTTTAAATATGGTCTCCTTCTTTACTGTGTTGATTCCCTTTATATATTTAAATGTTTCTATCATATCCCCTCGTCTCGTCTTTCCTCCAAGCTATACATGTTAAGATCCTTTAACCTTTCCTGGTAAGTTTTATCCCGCAATCCATGTCTAGCGCTGCGAAATTTGTGGGGTTTTTATAATTATAAATAATATTAACAATGAATTTATAAATGCATGAAAGATGTCCACATAGAGTGTACATTTTAGAGCATTACAGAAATATCAAAACCCTCCAGATATAAGCACTAGACTAGAGTATAGCAGTATAGTGGTCCTTTAAATGTACACTTAAAGGACCACTATAGGCACCCAGACCACTTCAGCTCAATGAAGTGGTCTGGGTGTCAGGTCCCTCTAGTTTTAACCATGCAGCTGTAAGCATAGCAATTTCAGAGAACGAGCTATTGGAACGAGCCGCACACGTACATTCGGATCTGACGTCGGCAGGGGGTGGAGAGTTCCCCAGCACAGAGGGAGCCTGCGCTAG